TTCACCCCTTTAATCGACGGAACTATTTCTAAAATTGATAGAGAACTCTAAAACTCTTGGGGGGGCAACCAGAACTCTACTTATTTTTTCAATTTTTAGAAAAAGTGGGGCCAGCTTCACAGAGGTTCAAGAAGGTGATGATCCTATTAATTTATTTACAAGTTCTGAAGACATAGATTCGATCCTTCTCTACGATTCAACCGTGTAAGTGAAATAGACATTTATCTTTTTAAATTTACGGTTTTTTTCCTTTCGAATTTCGTATTTTAATTCTTATTGTATTCATATTATTGATTACAATATATAAAAACATTCATTTATTGTTTTAATATTTTATTTTTTCCATATTCTCGCACACCTATTCTTTAAATCAGTTTTCAATTTCTATAATTCATATAATACTGTATTTGATATACATTTAAATCTTTTAATATTGCACGTGCTGGGCTTTGATTCCGTTATATCGAGTTAACACTTATCTCTCTCCAAAACGTCAATTCATAATCGTAGCGGTATCATTTTATGTAGTATTTGCTTAAAGATTTTGTTAGGCTTGCAATTTATCATATTGCAGAATGTATTTTACATTTTAATATATACCAATAGTACATATTTTAACTTAAAATATATTTTGTGCAAACCGATATGAACTTAACGTAATTTTAGATTTATCTGTTTATCTTCAGAATTATCTGTTATTTTACAACATTCCTAGTCACATTTTCGCTATTTATGTACGCCAATTATAAATTAAGATCATTCGTAATTTTTAAAGCCATTTTCTTAAGAGGTTCATTTCTGTTATTAAGTTATTTATTATAACTAACACAACCTAAAATTGGCTGTTGCAACTATTGTAATTAAAAATGCCATGCCATATTTTACCATCTAATTTGTTACAGCAGCCAATCTTTTTTTTCAGTGTAGCCATTTAATCTCTTTATTATTATCTTTTTAATTTTATATTTAATTTTTTATGTTTTTGATGAAAGTTAAAATTCAAACGTGACTCGTAATCTTAAAAAATTTTAAGGATTAACGAATAATCTCCGTTGAAAATGATAATAGGAGCGTAACTCGAATATAATTGAAGAGTAACAGAAGCGTAAATGTAATTTTTATAACATAAACTTTAAACATTGAAATTTAAAAAAGTGTAAATCTTTTTTTTAAATTTTGATGTTTTAATTTTCCTCTTTTAGAACTAACATTTAGATTTTTACTTTCAATCAGGTGTTTTTCCTTACTACTTAAAATTTTTTAAGTAAAACAGAAATAATTATTACTGTACATTGTTAATTGTCATTACAGTGAAATAGTTGGTTATATTGATGAAGTTGAATCTATTCGAAAAGTTGGGCTAAAGAAAAAAATTTTAATTCTTTAAATTTTTCCTCAATAATGCGGATGGAAAACGTGTTCAAGTTGTAGCTTGGAATGGAGAAATTGGACGTGTTAAACCGCATGTCAAATTGAATTATGTAAACAATTTAAGCCATTCTTTATTTTAAATTGTTTTTTTTTTCATAAAATTAAAACTATAGTGGAAAGTGTTTTAAATCAGGTCATGTTTTAAATAAGATCTTTTAAATTTAAATGAATATGGTTATAAGCAAAATTATGTATTATTTATAATACTAATTTTTTATAAGACACTGAACATATGATAGCAGTTTGATTGTTCTTTGTAATTACGTTCAGAAAATACACGCAAATATGTATTTTCAGCCATCGTGTAAAATTATTTAAAAAAAATTTTTGTAAATCATTATTTAAAAGATATTAAAAAATTTGAATAGTAACTGATTTTAAATAATTAAAGTGTTCCATAGGATTCAACACAATGTAATAAAATCCACTTGTACTGTCTTTTCGTTTAATCAATTTTTAATAGTTTTATTGATTGTTAACAAATATCGTCACAATGTCCTAATCACACATTACTGGTGGATTTGTCCGCATTGACACGACAGACTATGTGTTACGACGAATAACGCTCGCGGTGTATTTTCCGCACTGCCGTTGCGACGGATAACATTCGCTTGTAAGTTATGATCACTAATATCGACAGCGCCTAGGGGATAATGCCCTGAGTCGATTAATGAACACGTTAAGGGCTGTTGCCCTTAACGGATGTATCGTAAACTTGGCACGGAAATCGCGACGACGCCTAGAGAGAAATCTCTTGAGTCGCGAACGGCTTAAGTGACGCTGCCCGGAATCAAACGATAGAAGCAAACTCAACGATGGTCGCGAGGAAAGTGCGGTACCGGAAAATCACGACGCGGTAGAAAGGACCGCACCCCCTGTCGTATCCGATCTCTGGTCGTTCGTTGATCACGAGTGTCAACGGACGGCCTGTACCTTGTCGTGACCGCACGGCGTCACGGTCCGTTTTTTGTCGCCGTGGCTAACGTCTCACCGTCGGAATAGAACAACTGTATATTGATGTATGAGTATGTGTGCAGATCTGTGTCGAAGCCGCCGTATCAAATTTACTGTGCGTCATCATGCATGATATAAAGAGCTCTGATACAACATACTCCCTCCTCGTTAAGAGGGAAGCGATCAACTAGTTTGCGCATATCTATTATAATATAAAGTATTTGCTTGTTGAACGCATATCGCATATTAGTTTGTATAGTAATCTGTTGATGTACGGACAATACTCATCGAACTAGTGCTCGATCGGTAGTGGACAAAGTGACCGTGTTGGTCTCTTAATTTCTCTGGCCACTTGAGAGTGGCAGCTCGTGCGGTTCCATCCTCGTCTGGATGAAGCTCGATGATTCTGCTCATTGCCCATCGTATGCATGGCAGATTCTTGTCTTTAATAAGCACGACGTTCCAAGGCTGAGTTTCGGGCCGTCCTTAATCGTTTCTCGAGTTCGTTGAGGTACTCGATGTTCCAACGTTTCCAAAAGTCTTGTCGTACCTTAGTTATATGCTGCCAGGCAGACAATTGATTGGCTGGAACAGTTGACAAGTCGCCCTCAGGGAGGGTCATTAGTGACTTTCCGATTAAATGATGTGAAGGGAACAACGTCATGATATCATTCGGGTCAGATGATAAAGTTATAATTGGACGGAAATTTAATATGCTCTCGACTTCGGTGGCAAAGCTGTTTAATTCCTTAAATGTAAATAGAGAGTCTCCAACGACACGTTTAAAATGGTGTTTAAATTTTATCATTCCCGCAAACCGCCGAAGTGTAGAGCCGCTGGAGGTATAAAGTGCCACGAAATGCGACGGTTGGTTGCGAATTTGACAACGGCATCTTTTTGTTCGGTGGAATTGAATAATGCATATAATTCCTTGAGGTGATTGTTTGCTCCCACGAAGTTCGTCCCGTTATCGGAATAAATATGCTCCGGGGAGTCCTCGTCTTGCCACGAACCTACGCAGGGCAGCAATGAAGCCATCGGTAGACAAATCGTTCACCACTTCAAGGTATACCGCTTTGATAGTCATGCAGACGAACACGCAAACATATGCTTTGAGTCTCGTTCTGTTACAATACTTTTTCTCCTTAATAAAAAATGAGCCGCAAAAGTCGATGCCGGTGTTAGTGAAGGGGACTGCTTCGCGAACCCGGACCGCTGGTAGATTACCCATTTTGTAATCTACGGATTTGGCGTAAAATCTCAAACAACGCATGCACGTACGAATGATCTTTTGTACTTGGTTCCGACCGTCAAGAAGCCAAAATCTTTGTCGGAGAATATAAAGGATCGTCTGGATGCCCGTGTGGAAATGAATCTCATGAATCTCGCGTATGATACAGTCGGTTATATGATGCCTGGACGGAATTAGAATCGGATGTTTTTTTGAGAATGTTAAATCTGATATTTGCAAACGTCCGTCAACCCGAATCAATTCGTCATCGATGAACGGACTAAGATTAGCAATTTTACTGTTCGCGTTGTTGCTTCGAACAGTTTTAATCTCGTCAGAAAATCCATCATTCTGCAACATTCTGAGTATCCGTATTTCGGACTTGTTAATTTCCGTCGCACATAAAGGTCCGATGTATTTATTAGCGCGTCGAAAACGCAGACAGTATGCGATAACTTTTATTAGTTTGGAATACGATGAATACCGTTCAAACATTTTACCGTCGCTAGCAGTCGCGTTTGCAAACAAATGTTTTAATTCTGTCACCTCGATTGTTCACGTGACCTCATTGGGCCATTCCCTCTCGCCTCGGATCAACCACGAAGGTCTTGTGCACCATATGATGTTTTGTGACAAAGCCCGAGACGATTGGTCCCATGAAACAGCGTCAGCCAGGTTGTCGCCATTCACCAGCGCTAGTGAGTTCTTGAATCTCGGTAACTATTTGCCACGAATGTTTTAAATGAACGAGGTACTGTTTTTAACCAATGTAAAACAATGGTCGAATCGCTCCAGAAAATGGTTTTGTTGAACGTAACATTAATGATATGGCCAATCGCCTCGCGATATAGTTGCGCTAGTAACTGAGCCCCGCATAGCCGCGGTAATGTAACGGTCTTCAACGGCGCGACCCGCGATTTGGCGCAGAGTAGTTTAGACACAACAGTCCCGCGTTTATCCCGAGAGCGTATATATAAACACGCGCCGTATACGACGTTGCTGGCATCACAAAACCCGTGTAATTGAATATCACAATAGTTGTCAATCATTACCTTGCGAAGGAAATTTGATTTATAATATTAACTCTAACTGATTGGCGAAATCCGACCATTCCGTATAAATAAATTGTGGAACGGATTCGTCCCAGTGCACATTGAATCGCCATACGTCATCAATCTCTTCGCGTACAAAACAACCGGGCCTAGCAATCCCAACGGATCAAAGATTTTCGAGATATCTGATAACAAACTTCTTTTTGTTACTTTTCCAGTAATTCTTCCCGCGTGCGCTGAGTAGCATATTTCGTCATTATACGCGTTCCATGTAATGCCCAACATCTTTAAGGAACGATCCGCGTAAAACTTCTGTGCAACGCGCGCGTTGGTAGATCACTGACGACACGCTCCTCGTTGGACGCCCATTGTCTTATATTGAATCCTCCACGAGTAAAGTAATTACTTCATCTCTAATACAGATCGCCTCGTCCGCGCTATCGGCTCCGGATAATAAATTGTCTACGTATAAGTGTTTTTTAAGGACTTCGGCCGCTCGCGGAAACGCTTGGCTCTCGTCGTCGACGAGCCTTTGAATGGTGTGAATTGCCAGAAAAGGCAATGACGATACACCGAAGGCTAAAATGTTGAATTGGAAAGTTTTAATTTTATTGTCCTTGTACCAAAGAACCCGCTGAAAACGTCTCTCGTTTTCGTGTAATTGAACTTGCATGTACATTTTTTCAATGCTGCAGATATGACGTATCTATACGTACGGAAATGAATGAGATGTGAAAATAATGTGTCTTGAATCGTCGGGTCCACCAACACGTCGTTTAGCGACACGTCAGTACTTGTTTTAGCCGACGCGTCGAAAACGACTCGAATTTTAGTAGTGTCGCTCGTATCCTTAAATACTGCATGATGAGGCATATAGTAGCCATCATCAATCGGATTCTCCACAATCGACACATGATTTGACTTCACGTATTCCTCAAACGCCTGCGTGAACTGAGTTTTGAGTGTCATGTTGCTGTTGAGCTTACGCTCCAAGGATGCCAAGCGTTTAAGCACGATGCTTCGCGACTCACCCAAACGTTTACCGATATCGCGAAAAGATAAACCGACCATGTATCGCCCATTGGCGTTACGATACACGGATTCAACGTAGTGCGCCTTACACGCGATTTCTTCTTGCGATTTCGTATCAACCGTCGGAATCTCCTCAATCATCCAAAATTTCGTCAGTTGATTTTCTAAATTCGTTGCATGACACATTGTAGACTTCGACGGTGTCAAAACGGGGATGCCGCCGGCGACCATCCAACCGAGACGCGTCTTTTGTAAATACAAGTCATAATTTTCATGCGACAAATTAATTTGACCAATACAAAATAGAAATAATGTTGGTCCGGCTCCGATTAATAAATCGACAGGTTGGGGGACATGGAAACTTGGATCGGCTAACTTGATGTTCGATGGAATTTTAATAGAGCTTCGCGGAAATGTTTCTAACGGTATAGATTTCGCTACGGCCGTGATGATTAAACAAGTCAATTCCTTGCGAAAGCCATCGCGTACTGATTGGATGGTGACTCGAACAATCCCTCTCGACATCGTGCTCATGGTATTTATTGCGCCGATAGTCGTCGAGCTTGCATTCACATCGAGGTCTAGTCGTTTCACGAGAGACTCGGAAATTAAACTTGTAGTGGCACCAGTGTCTAACAAAGCGCGGCACTTGATTAGTTGTTCTTACGGTCTTTAATGTACACTAATGCGCTGGTTAACAATTGTGGTGTGAAAACGGAAGATATTGATGCGAAACTTATGGTCCTTTCGCCGGCGGAAAGTGCTAGTCAATCCCTCTGAGTTGTTTCAGGTTTCGCAAGACTGGATTTGCAAGTGGTGGGGTAATTCTCGAAGTGCAAAAGGATGTTATGTCGCCTTCGGCAGATTGTGCAGTTCGAAAACTTACAAGGATTGTCGCGATGTGAGCGCAAACAATTATAACAGACCTTCTCGGCTCTTACAAGTTCGATACGCTTAGGTATAGGCAGTTTCTTAAATTTTTCGCACATATACAATGGGTGTCGTTTCGCCTCGCACGCTACGCAGTTCCGCGGCGTATTTAATAACAACGCCGGATTAGACGAGAAACGTCTCTTTTTATTTGATGGTTCACCTGTCTCTTTCTCTGAATCCGTGATCTTTGATCGTTCGAGTTTTGACGCACACACGGCGGATTTATACAAAAATTCATAAATTTGATCAGGCTTAGAGAATTCGTTTCTATCAAGGTTCACCTCCCATTTATCTACAGCGGTCTTCGGGCTTTCTAAATTTGCTTTCTAAATTTGCTTTCTAAAATGTTTACGATTATTTCGGGAGTGACGGTAACCCCCAAAGCACTCAACGACGCAACGTGTTGTTGAGCATCATCCGCGAGTTTAGACAGGCCGACGGTGGTTTCCTTTTCTAACGTCTTCATGTTCATAATTAACGAAAGATGTCGCGAGATTAAAATTCTCTTGACTTCGTAGGACTGTTCAAGCAATTCCCAAGCCTTGCAATAGTTTATTCCGACGATTGCGAAGACCTTTGTCTTATTGGCGACTTCCCCGATTAAAGCTGATTTAAAATAATGCAATTTGTCAACATCGGAAAGATCCGTTCTCGATCCTACCACGTTAGGAAACACGTTTTTAAATGACAGCCAATTTTCGAAACTGCCATCAAAAGTGGGCAAAGGTGCTTCGGATAATTTTAGACGCCGAGACTTTACAATCATCCGGTTCTCTGTTTGATCGACTTGCGCTTCGCCATTTGACATGCCGCTAGTCGACGTGTTTGCCGTGTTTAAAATGGTTTCGATTTTACTCGCGAGATTATAAAATCTGCCCTGGATAGTTGCAAGTTCGTCCTGATGTGCATCGCTCGGATCTAAAATCGCGAGTTCGTCATTATATTCTTCATACGCATTGTATAAATGTGTTAACCGCGTGATCCGTAATTTTAATGCTGCGTTATTGAGACTACCTTTGTCGAGAGCATTTGATAAATTGGTAATTTGAGACTTGAGAGAAGTTCTCTTTTGGATGAGAAGTTTGATTCTATCAACCATTATTACGCGACTTGATGTCAGATTGATAACGGAAGACTTACGGTCTGCAGAACTACTGAATGCTTAGTAACGAATAATTACGACTGTAACGCCGGTACTGACGATGTGGCTTGGTGTATATGGCCTTCGAGTATCGCTTCTTTGATGGACGATGGATCATCGCATTCGCTTCAGATGCTCGAGATGACCCCGTGATCTCCGAGTGGTCCAGCCGTATGAGTGATTCAGACCTCACAGGAGGCACCAAAATGTTCCATAGGATTTTCAGCACAATGTAATAAAATCCACGCAATGTAATAAAATCGCTTGCACTGTCTTTTCGTTTAATCAGTTTTTAATAGTTTATTGACTGTTAACAAATATCGTCACAATGTCCTAACCACACATTGATTTGTCCGCATTAACACGATAGACTATGTGTTACGACGAATAACGCTCGCGGTGTTCTCCGCACTGTCGCACAGTGGGAAAAAAGGCTCACTTTTTGGACAAAAATCGACTGACACTACAATTCTTAACCGATTTTGATGCTTCTTTTTTTAAATTATTCGTTATAAAATTTCCTAGATCGTAGAACTGCCAACTTTTTGATATAAAGCTGAAATTTAGAATGGTCGTTAAATATAATCTGTTTTGAAAACGCATTTATGACATCTACAGGCAAGGTTGGTAGGAAACATATTCTAAACGTGTTTTAAACAATTTAAAACATGCTTAAATGATGTTTCTAATATTATTATTTACTATAATCCTTGCCTTGCGGCTTTGGATGACTTCCAGTCTACATTTTCCACACTTTTTCTTACCAAACTAATACACATGAATATTTTACAGCTCTCTGAATACATATAGGTGTAATATATACACACCATATAGATACAAGACACAAGACTTAATACATTCATTCCAACAAAAACAATCACGTATAACTAACTTTTCCTATAGAAATCTACATATGCTCTGCTTTTAGATATTGTTATTTTCTGATTATCTACTTATAAACATCTCTTGAACTGTCTTTACATTATACTTAACCTACTTTACTTTCTACTCTACTTGGTGTACTATCTGGGATTGGTCCTCACTCTTGTTTATTTTTCTTTTTTTTTCCCTCCCCTCTGCTTCCTTTCTTGCCTTATCTATCCTCTTCATTATCTCTATCCCTTTACCTTCTTCTCCTATAAATTCTTCCATCTGCATCTCACTCTTTGTCTCCTCGCACTCCTTGAGTATATGGTTCATGT